GGTTTCCATGAGGGCTTCTCTCTAAACAGACTCCTGGCATTTCTTACTTTACTCACCCTCCAGGAAGTAGAGGACTTAACTGACTGATAAAATTTGGAAGAATTTACCTGGCTCAGCAATTTTCTCCCCTCAGGGGCAGGTCTACCCAAGACAGGACGTACTGCTATCCACTAAGAACATGGACGGGACTTCCTCATATAGGCAGGTCACACAGTCCCATCTAGGGCTATTTATCTTTGACGTACTTCATAAAGCCTTTGCTCACAATTATCTTAAACTTTAGGCTAGTTTCCATCCCACCCATCATGAATTTTGAATTAGTAGACCTTAAAAGTATTGTGTTTTTGTTAGTTTTCAGGTACAAGAAAAAAATTAACATCAACAATAAACCATTACGTTTCATTTGTCCACATGCTGGGAGCTAGGTTCCCTCTAATGTCTAAATCATAACCCACCAGTAAATCACTGACAGTTCCCTGGTGACCTGACAGAATTTAGGACCTTCCCTAAACACTCAACCTGTACACAAGATAGTAACTGGGGCAGGATGTTCATACTGAACACACTGAAATTCTTTTGTAAATAGATGTTTATATTGTATTTCCCAAGAGGTAGGTTTGTTTGTACTCGCTCATCTAAATTACAAAGCATTTTCTACTCTGATCAGGGACTAGAAGATGAGGGAAGGAAGATATTAAATATTTTCTAAAAACCCACTTTGTGCAGGGCACTAAACCTCACACTTTATACATTCTGACCAAACCCTCTGAAATAGGTGAGAAAACTGTGATGGGGAAAGTCAAATTAATTGCCCAGGGTCATTCAGTAAGTAGTTCTGACATTTGAATCCAGGCCTGATTCCAAAGCCCATACACGTTCCCCCATATTATATAGCTTTCCACAAGCCCAGCTACCTGCTAGATCCCATGCCATAGTGCCAATGACTTAGAACATTTTGCTACCTAAGGACTCAAGCCAGCCTTGTGCCAAACTTCCAGATCTATTATTTTTACTTCAATGGTCTTTGAAACTACCTGGCTGTCTGTGGTAGATTGCAAAAATATTTTACAGCTTTTTCTATCAAGAGGTACAGTCTATTTTCCTGACTTTTGACTCTGGGCTGACCATATGACTTGCTTTGACTACTAGAATATGGCAGAAGCAACACTGTAGGAGATCTTGGCCTGAGCTTTAAGAGGCCTTGCAGGTTTTACTTTTGCACTCTTGGAACTCTGCCACCAAATGAACAAGCTCAGGGTTAGCCTGATGGTGGATGAGAGATCACATAGAGCTGATTCCTCTTAGCTTAGATTCCTTAACCTTGTGGTAACCTGGACCACAAATGCACAAATGATCTCAGCCAAGACCAGAAGAACCACTCAGCTGAACTCTGCTCAAATTGCCAACCCATGGAATTGTGAGAATGGGGGCTGTTATAAGCCACTGAGTTTTGGGGGGGGTCTGTTACACATAAAAAGCTAACTGATACAGCCTCTCTGACCTAGATCCAGAAACTCCTTACAGTAAAAAGTAAATGGGGGTAATGCCAGGTACAGTGGCTCATGCCTCTAATCCCAGCACTTTGGGAGGCTGAGATAGGAGGATCACTGAGGCCAGAAGTTCAAGACCAGCCTGGGCAACATAGTGAGATTCTCTCTCTACAAAAAAATGGTTTTTAAAAATTAGCTTGGGCATGATGGAATGTGCCTGTAGTCCCAGCTACTCAGGAGGCTGAGGCAGAAGGATCACTTGAGCCCAGGAGTGCTAAGTGAGCTAAGCACTTAGCTATAGTAAGCTAAGATCACA